CCCGGTGCACAATCGGGTGCGAACGTGATGAATGCGTGCCCCGGCCCGTGGGCGTGCGGGAGGATGTCCACGCGGACGCGATAGTGATCGCGTGTCAGGGCACGGCTCCCACACTCGCCTCATGTCTCATTGTTCTCTTTTTCTGCTTCCGCTTCTGTCCCATTTCGTTCATTTCCCCTAATACTTCCGTCTCCCTATTCGGTCGCACTCTCCCGCGCCCTCCTAGGCTTCCCGCGCTCTCCTTTTGGCATCTCCCCTATTTCGTTCCGTCGCTCGGCGCTCCTAGGGCCTCCGCACTCGACCGGCCTTCCTAGGCCGGTCCACCGGTCACGTGTCGGGCGCCCGAGGACCCTCCCTTTCTCTCATTGGACCATCTTTCGTTGCGTTGATGGATTACTCATCTACTATATAGTCGCCTGTCGCACCAGGGAGCAACCCAGACTTGTTCTCTCAGTTGCTTCCCTGCCTTGTGCGACAGGTATGTGTATTTCCCCTCGTATCTTCGTATATATACTCAGTTGCTTCCCTGCCTTGTGCGACAGCGTCTCCACCGCCGTCCCGGGGGATCCGCGCTTCTCCTAGGAGCTCCAGCGCGTACTCTGACATCGCGGGTGCAGGTTGAGGGCATGCGGGCCGCCGGCGCGATAGTGATCGCGTTCCGGTGGGAGTTGCGATAAGACGTAGTGACGTCGTTCGTCGTTCGTGCGCGGTTGAGGTACCGGTTGCGGTTGACAGGCGGATAGGGGATGAGCAAAGAAAAAGTCAGCGCGGGTGTTCACAGTCACAGGAACTTATGGCGCACGCGTAGTTAGCTTCGCTGGCTTGCACGTTCAGATATTTCCGCGTTATCCGCTGCAACCGCTCGTTGTTGAAGATCGCTGGGTTGAAGATCTCAGCGGGATTACGCTCGTAGTCGAGGTGCCAGAGCTTCCGAACCTCCTCCTGATAGAGGAGAAGGCATGGGTCTCCGTGCGGACCCTCGAAGCGACTCGGATGGTTGTCGATTGCGAAGAAGAAGTCGACGAAGTCTTGCACTATTGCTTTCGGCCATCCGACCCGGGCCATGTCCTCGAGGAGCCCTGTCTTCGCGATAGAGAACTCTCTCCACGTGAGCTCTCGGTCCGGAATGCAGTGCTTCGCTATTCGGCTGGGTGCGGCCTGTCGCAGCGCTACCCCGTCGCCGTCCCGGGCCAGATACAGGGTGTCATCTCCGCTCGATAGTGCGTCCTCCGTGGCTCTGCGCCGCCCCTCGGCTCTGAAGAACCACAACTCAATGTACTTGTAGGCTCGGAGTTTCTTGAGGGCCTTGTCGTCGGTTGATGGGGCGGACTCGTGGCCGACCATGCGGTCCTTGATGTGAATCGGGACCTTGGGCCGACTCTTTGCGGCCTCCTTCTCCTCTTCGGCTTTCTCCGCTGCTTCGCGCTCCAACCTCTCTTTCTCCGCAAGCCGCGCGGCTTCCCGGTCCTCTTCGACCTGACGATCCCACGCCGCCTTTTCTTGATTGATGTCGTTGGTCCAGGCGTCTAAAAGGGCTTGTGCTGCTTGCTCGTCCGTCAGGCCATCCTGGTTGCTCATGGACCGCCTGCAGGCTGCGAAGGCTGCCCCTGAAAAATTGGGCGCGACCTGTTCATGCGGGTTAGCATCGATACGTGGCATGATGCTAGCACCGGGGGGGGGTTTAAGGGAAAGTTCTCCGTATTGATCCCTAAGGAATGTTGGTGCTATTCTTTTGTTGTGCAAATTCGAGTTACGGCGGCCCTTTGCGAGCTCGCCGTATGCTGGACTCGGTAGCGGACGGTGCGGATGGCGAGGAAGAACTTGCACCGCCACCGCAACGCCCGCACGCGCATAGACTAAGTTCTTGCGCTTACGTTCATTCCTCACTTCAGCTCAGAACCGCGATCCCTAAACAGGAACAGCCCTACACTCCGGTGTTTCGCAGCTTTTGTGGACCATGTAAGCCGACACACACCGGTGTGTCCTTCTCTTCATCCCGCGTTTTGCCCCAAAGCGTGCGCGATCATGTCTCCATAACCCAAAGAAGCCGTCAAAAGCTGCTCGGCCTCATCGATTTTCCTCTGAGTCCGCTGATTGTGAGCACTTGCATCTGGCGCAAGTGCCCTCGAGCCCTGGATCAAAGCAACGGCTTCTTCAAGAACGGCTTCGTCTGCGGACAAGCGGAACTGTGCGACCAGAGACGTGCCCAGGTCAACGAGATCTTCAGCGCGCCGCAGCCTGCTGATGTCTGGCAGCAGGAACAAAGACCTCCTAAGCGAGATCTCTTCCTGCAAGACGGCGTCGTCTTTTGAACGCTGATGATGTTGCCGTAGGCAATTGGCGAGCCACCTCAAGATGATATCGTAGTATAGATGGCCCTTCGGAACAAGTGCGAGTGCTTGGCGCTGGAGCGAGATGGCCTCCTCAAGGGACGATTCTCTTCCGTTCAAACGATAATCTGTTTCCTGCGAGATCCCAAGCTTGTGGAGCGCGTATATCCGACCGGGGTGTCCGTGTGGGCAAAGCAGGAGTGCCTCGCGCTGGAGTGATATTGCCTTTTCGAGAGGCGCCGATTCGCCAGAATGATTGCAGAGACAACAGATAGACGTTCCGAGTTCGTAGAGGAATCGATGGCGATCGGGGTGCCGCATCGGACACAGCGCGAGCGCCTCCGTTTGCAATGCAACGGCTTCTTCGAACGACGATGCGCCACCGGAATGACGGCCGAGTGAACGAAATGATATTCCAAGCTTGTAGAGGGCATACATGTGGTCGAGGTGCCCTAGCGGACTGAGTGCGAGTGCCTCGCGTTGGAGCGATATTGCCTCCTCAAGAGTGGACACGTTGTTGGTATATTTGTATCGACACTGGATACACGTGCCAAGCTGGTGGAGGAAACGGCAACGATCGGGATGGTCCTTGGGACAGAACATCAGCGCTACGCGCTGGAGTGAAATCGTCTCTTCGAGAGAAGATTTATCGCTGAAATGTTCGTAGTGGCACCAGATACCCATGCTAAGCTCGTAGAGAAAGCGGTGTCGATCGGGGTGTTCTCTTGGACAAAGTGCAAGCGCCTCCCGCTGCATCGATATCGACTCCTCCAGGACCGAATTGTCACCGAAACGGCGACAATAAGACCGGAGAGATACCCCGAGCTCAAGCAGTGCAAATCTACGTTCGGGGTGACCATCCGGACAAAGCGCTAGCGCTTGCCGTTTGGGCCATATTTGTTGCTGCCGGTACATGTCTTCATCGGATGACCTATGAGTTTCTGGGGATTTGTGTGAGGCGATGCAGGGTTCGGGCTAGCTCTGAACATGACGTACCCAAAGGAGCATCAGAGCCCGCGATCTTTGGCAATGATTTGACAAGCTGTCCCGCTGTTGGCCGTTCCTCAGCAGGTTTCCAGCAATCATCCGCCAGAGACCACAGAGCAGGCGAGACGTCATGTCCCTTCGCAGGTGCTATCGGTCGGCTCGGGTGTGTGCCTTGCATCAATAGAATGACGATGACCCCGCTGCCGAGTTCCGCAAATGGAGGGCGTCCAGTATGCGCCTATTTTCCCGGCATCATTTGTCAGAGAAGTGCCTTGAGCTTCGGACTTACAAAACGCACCTCCAACATCGTGCACCCAAAAGCGTACACATCACTTTTCAGGGTACGATGGCTGTTCTCTCGAAAAGTTTCGGGCGCGCTCCAGTTGAACGATCCCTCGCATGTTGTCGCTGTCACGTTACCGTCGGCAAGCATGGTGGAGAGCCCGAAATCCGCCAGCTTCGCAATGCCCTCGCGATCGACATCAGGAAACACCCCCTCTGTGAATTAGTATCATAAAGGGCCAACAATGTCAAGTAATTACTAGACCATCCATGTAGATAAAGCTGTATTGGGACCTTTTACAGTATATACCAGCACATACCAGCACATACCAGCACAGAAGTACAAAAAGTAGGAAATATGGAAGGTCCCCCTGAGCATATGTCACATTTTTGGTGAAATGTGTACAAATATGTGGATTTTTATTCACTTTTTGGGCATATTTTGGTGATCTGCAACATCCATGGGCTCTCAAATATGATATATTGTGGCTCAAATATGACCATAAACATGTCACATCTTGTTAGATATCTTCAGAGTTTGGTCATTGGTACATGACATTACATCCACCCATTATATTTGTATGCATATATGTGATTCAATTTCCTCCTTATCATACCTCATGAAGTTCAGCGGAGGTTAGTCCACGACGCCAGAACAGATGACATCAAGGGATATTGAACGAATTCATTACGACAAGCTCTATGTTAACACTAAGCCGACCGCGGTGCGCGTGTACAAATCGGCCACGGT